TACCCATGGGTATGGGTGGGTGTGGGTATGGGTACCCAATGCAGGGCTCTATTGGACACTCAGTATCTACCTCTTTTTATCATGGCGTAATCCTTAGTATCTACCTCTTTTTATCATGGGTGGGTGTGGATATGGTACACTCAATATCTACCTTTATTGGGCACTCAGCCTCAAACGTAATCCTTGCCAAGTTTTTCCTTCCACCCTCAAGGGACAAGATCAAACATGGTTCTATTCACTTCCAGCCAAAAAAATCCTCACATTCGTCAAATTGGCTAATGTGTTCGTTGAATAATTCATAGCCAATTAAAAAATTGCTAAGGATTCTTCTCACATCTCTTGGATTCGCTAGAATAAAGAAGAATCGCTTAAGGAATATTTTCAATGATTTTTCACAGAGGCTCGACAAATTTCATGAGTTGATCTTGAATTGCTAAGAGGAGTTTTCCTTGGAGGCCTCCGTTCTAGTCCCTTTTACTCGACATTTATGCGAGACACCTCTTTTTATCATGGCGTCTAAATGCTGTTGGAGAAGGAACTTCAGGACCTTCCCTAGAAGAACATATATGAAATATGAAAGAATCTTAAAATGATATCCTTCAACTTCTCTTAGAAACTTGGCAACTAACTCTAACACAACAAGAGGTGATTCTTCTCCCTTGAGTTCCAACACTGACCGAAGGTGTTCAACCCGAACATCTTCATGTAGAGATTCCTCTTCCTCCGCCAAGGAGGCATTTGCAATCACATAAAGATAATGAACTTAATGACACAATAAGTTTTACCCATCCTTCGTATATAGGTAGGCAATCGCATTCCTCCTGACATCCCCAAAGACTTAATCCGACCACATGTTGCTGAGCTCCCTCGCAACGCCTTACATCATGAACTACGACGATTGGTTTGAGAAGAATTCTCTGTGGGAGGTATAAGAAAATCTCTTCGTGAGTGAGACTTCTAGGATTCATCACCCTTGACTGAAGTTATTCTTTAACACCCTATTCTGACATGATTCAAACTATCGAATATCGATTCCTACGATGGGACATCTGACCCCTACGAGCATATCGATCACTACAGAACCATCATGAATATCCAACGAGCCTCAAACGTAATCCTTGCCAAGTTTTTCCTTCCACCCTCAAGGGACAAGATCAAACATGGTTCTATTCACTTCCAGCCAAAAAAATACTCACATTCATCAAATTGGCCAATGTGTTCGTTGAATAATTCATAGCCAATTAAAAAATTGCTAAGGATTCTTCTCACATCTCTTGGATTCGCTAGAATGAAGAAGAATTGCTTAAGGAATATTTTCAATGATTTTTCACAGAGGCTCGACAAATTTCATGAGTTGATCTTGAATTGCTAAGAGGAGTTTTCCTTGGAGGCCTCCATTCTAGTCCCTTTTACTCGACATTTATGCGAGACACAGTTCCTTCGTATGCTGATATGATCCATAGTGACCAGAAATGAATAACCCCCCCCAAAAAAAAAAAAAAAAAAAAAAAAAAAAAGATAGCCTGGGAACTAGATATGCAAGTTCTTTGAATCCACTTGATAATCATAACGAACCTCATTTGAGGGGGATTAAGAAGATTTCCATCTTCGCATTTAGAAACTCCAAAATGCTCTTATAAGGCTTGAAGAAAGTATCTCCATAGAAGTTTTGGCCCTTCACCTAACATGTTGGATCATGTTTTATTCGGTGGATTATGTCAAATTGTACTTATCATTACACATGCAAGAGCTAAGAGCCACTGGGGAGAATATAATAAAGTTCAAGTACGAAGAAGTGAAAGAGAAGATGAGTCTGAGAGATGCATGAAATCTTAGACAAAAATCTTTATTATCTAAGCCAAAAGTATAAGAATAGGGATGATAGGAGCTCTTGGAGCTTGAGTTTTACAAGAGTAATAATGCGATATTTTGGAGGTATTTCTTTAGGAATTACAGTCATTTATCATCTCTCTCTCTCTATCTCTCTCTCTCTCTGTATTCTAATATGTGAATTCATCTCAAGGAGAGATTTAGGGTTATATCAATCTCTCTTTTCTTTTTCCCACCCTAAGGAATCTCTCCCGAGAAAAAAAAAAAACATATCCTCTTTTCCTTCCCTCCTCCTTTTATAGGGTTCATAAGGAAGTAAGAGTTAAGTCCTGGCATGTAGCTATCCCATCAATATGTAGTAATAGGGTATACGTGCCTAGTCGGTTGGCGACTCGAACTAGATGAAGTCTGACGATGATCAGTGGTCAACCTATTGAGATGGAGGGGAACAAGTATTATCCAGCTGGTATGGATGGGAGGTGACGGAGTGATTTGATTTCCTTGTTGAGGTAAAAGGGAGAGTAACATATGATTTTGGTCTTCTATCATCTGTGAGAGGGAGGTATTCAAGTGAGACAATGTATGTTGGTAGCTCATGGATGTATTAAGCATAAGAACCTTGGTTCTGATTTAGATAGATAAAGAATTATCTAACTGAGAGAGGAACATCTGAGGTCTTCCTTCCCCGAGGGGAGGCAATTGTGCGCCTAGAGGTTGTGATCGCTCCCAATCCGCTATGCTCCAGTATAAAGCTAATTCCATCTCTTGAGTGAGTCCCTCTAGTGAGCAACCACAAGAGCATAGTTTGTCCTCCTTTTGTTCGGCCCGAATGTAACCTATAAGACACATGCAAACAGGTACTTGTACATGTATTCATGGTTGTACACATCACTACGAGTGTAAGTGAGCCAACTCTAACTCGACTCCTTAATGAGCTTGTAATTAAGTTAAATTTATCGAACAACGAGTTCGAATTTGAGCTTATATATAGCACCAACTGAAGCTCAAGCTTCGCCCGACTCGATTCATCGGCCTGTCTAGACAGCTTGATTGATATTAATTAACATATCCAGATTTAAATAAGAATTCAAGCTCTAATATGAATTATTCTCAAACTTTCTTATCGAGCTCGAGCATTCAAGTTGAACTTGAGCTCGTATTTTTTCACTCAAGCACGCTGAGTTGGAGCTTAATAAATCAGCTCGAGTTTGAGCTCATGACAAATTAAGCGAGCTTAGCTTGATGATTACGCAAGAACTCAACTCGACTCTACTCGTTTACACTCCACCCAAGACCATTGATGCCATATTCTTTATAATTTAATAATATATTTAGTCATATTTTTAAAATATGTAGTTGTAGCATAATTTTATGTCATCCTAATCCTTTTGATCCAGTTGATATCAAATATCTCTCTATATAGTATTTATTTTAAAATATTTTACTTCACAAATAAAACAAATGATGGATCATAAGGAGATGAAGGCATATCTCAGTATAAAAATGAACGATAATGAGATATTGTTTATAGAAATTTTTATGAGCTTCTGACCTCTAATGAATTGTTAATCAATACAAAATTAAATAATTACTCTGACTAACAAACAACTTGATATTTATAATTCAGAATTGATTTTTTTTTTGCCCATAAACTTTAGAATCTAATTAGACCAATCTATAAAAGAGAATATTAAAAGAACAAAAAAATAATCCAATTTAGTTAGCGGTTTAATTAGGGGCGAAATGAGCCGGGTTCTTCTGAGGATGGGCAAAATAGAATTACAACATTCATAATTTCTTAGTTAGATTGAATCGATACGGTGAACAGCTCACGATTCGACCGATTCAACCATCGATCATATCCAATATTACATTTTAGAATAGCCGAATATAATTTGCATTGGAATGAGCTTAAAAGTCGTCGGATTTGCACTGATATTAGTACAATTCATAATATTATATATAAGCATTAATCCCTAAATAAAGTCAAAAACTCCAACCTCCTTCTATAAATCATATTAATATATTCTACCATATATTTTTTTAACAGCAACAAATTGACTTTGAATTCCACAACCATAACGGCCGTGTTAACGTTTTTATAAAAGCACTTCAAACTTTAGATTTATGCTTCATTTGAGACACCTTTTTTATTGCTTCTTAAAACAACTTTTCAGTACAATTTTTTATTTTTGATATTAAAAAGCTGCTTTAAGAAGCAACAAGAAAGTCGTACCAAATAAAGTCTTATTAAAAACTCTTTCCTGCCTAACGACTGAGTACCCAAAGCATGTTGTTGTAACCACTATAGGGCTACCGTAGCACTAATAATAGGTTTTTCGGACGGTTTTAACCATCATATATTTCTTGCAGCGATCTGCACATTATCAAACCGTTGCATGATCACCGTAATTACAATAAACTACAAAGACATTTCACGACGGTTTCAAAATCATTGAGTAGAAGTTGGCCGGAAAGTGCTGTCTATAAAAAAAACTGCAAAAATATGTAATTTGTGGCGGTCAACTAATTGGCTTTTGAAGCTGACTTTTCTATAGTAGCTAGGAACAGATAAAGCTGTTAGCATTCATTGACTAACTAATCATAGTTTTAGAAGCCTTATCTGAATTTTCTTCTTCGGTTGCTTCTATGACTCCATTTGGAACAATTTTCTTTCAACTTCTTAAAACTGCTTTTTAAAAAGCGTTTCTAAGAATCAGTAAGAAATTCATCCCAAATTTGTTGACATATCATATTTTCTCTTAATAAATATAGCTATAAGAATCAAAATCACTCCAAAATTTTACTACAAGCACTGTGCGCAGAAAGTAGAGAAATGGAGAGAGCAGTTAAAATCAAACAAATGAGAAACATGGAAACTTTTGCACCACGAAAGGATTTAAATTCAAATGAAATCACGCAACGTGTTTTCGTTCAACGCATCTGTAATGAAAACTAAGCGCGTCTATAGTCTTTAAAATATGAACCGAAATCTTTGACATTGTAGATCTTTGAAACTTGGACATCCAGCTTGCAGTTTGAATCCACTATATAATCCACCTCCATGTCTGTACTCCAAAGAAAACCAGCATTGGATCAAACGAAAACTCTCTCTCTCTCTCAAAATCTATCAGTATTTCTATAAAAAATACACAGCACAAGGATAAGCCATGAAGTTTGTAAGTGTTCTGATGCTATTTGGGCTACTGCTTTGTCAAGCATGGGCTGACACTAATCAGTATGATTTCATTGTAAGTAATTCATGCATTCTCTCTCTCTCTCTCTCTCTCTCTCTCTCTCTCTCTATCTCTTGAAGTTTGGAAGTGATATGATGTTATTTGGGCTATTGGTATGTCAAGCATGGATTGATACTAATTAGTATTTGTTGGGGAAGTAAAACATCGTAGCGAGCAAAAACAAGAAAATGAAAATGCAGTGGAGAGAGAAAATAAGGATTTCATGTGAAAAAATTAAAAATCTAAAAAAAAAAAATCACGAAATCACACCATACCAAAAAATTAACTATTAAGATTTGAAAAATAGTACATCTCATTGTCTTTCTTCTCTCTAGTACCGCACACTTACTAGAAAAAAAGAGAGAAAAATATGCTTAACCACCAATTAGGGACGCAACCCTTAATGAAAAAACAAAAAGAAATCTGCAACTAGTCTTGTAGTGCTGCAGAGCCAAGTTTGGAGTGTCATAGTGTTAAACTCTTTGATCAACACAATCAAATTCTAAATAGAACTAACATTATGTTTTCATTGTGAATAATTCATGCATTATCTCATATGCTTGAATAAGCCTAATAAGATCAAATATGCGCACCATATTTGCATGACATGGATATGCATACACGCGCATGAAATTATTGATAACATTCTGTTCTTAGTTTACCTATATATGTTTGCTAGAATAAAGAATTTTCATAAATATAGCTAATGAACTCATTGATGATGAATATATGTTCCATATGTTAGATTCAAGAAACACCATACACCCGCCTTTGCAGCACGAAGAACATTCTAACAGTCAACGGTCAATTCCCTGGGCCCACAATTTATGCTCGAAAAGGCGATACTGTTATCGTCAATGTACAGAACCAAGGCGACTATAACATCACCCTTCATTGGTATGTTTACTAAAAAGAGCTTTTGAAGTTGCATTGAGATTAGTATTATGTTTGATATTTGGAGTCATAGTAATCTTATCGCAAATTAAAAAAATGTTGAAGCTCATCCTCATAAAAATGCTTCATGACTTGCTGGAGTATTTTTTTCATACATTCTCTAGCATAAAAATGTAAGCGGCTTTGTTAAATCTTTACAGGCATGGATTGAGACAGCCTAGAAACCCCTGGTCTGATGGACCAGAGTACATCACACAATGTCCTATCCAGCCAGGCACAAACTTCACATACAATCTCTTATTCAGTGAAGAAGAAGGTACAATCTGGTGGCACGCACATAGCGATTGGGACCGTGCCACTGTCCACGGAGCCATCATCATACACCCACAAGAAAACTCAAGCTTCCCTTTCCCTACCCCTTACAAAGAAATTCCCATCATTCTTGGTATACACAAACATTCTTCCTTTCTTTAAATTTTTTAAAAATTTCAATAACATTCTAAATTATTACAAAAATCACATCATTTTCCCTACCCCTTACAATTGTATCCAATACATCTAACTTGTTAAACAACGCAGGCGAATGGTGGAAATCCAACGTGAGCCAAATCCTCGCCGACGCCCTCCGAACCGGCGGCGCCCCCAACAGCTCCGACGCCTTCACCATCAACGGCCAGCCCGGCGACCTCTACCCCTGTTCCTCATCCAGCACCTTCACCGCCCAAGTCGAGTACAACCAAACCTACCTCCTCCGCATCATCAACGCTGCCGTCAACAACGAGATCTTCTTCGCCATCGCCGGCCACCCCCTCACCGTCGTCGGCACCGACGCCAGCTACACCAAACCTTACTCCACCGACTTCATAATGATCACCCCTGGCCAAACCTTCGACGCCCTGCTCCTCACAAACGCCACCAACGGCTCCCTATTCTACATTGCCGCCAGCTCCTACGGCAGCGCCACCGCCGTCCGCTACGACACCACCACCACCACCGCCATCCTCCAATACAACAATTCCACTGAGACGCCAATTCTCCCTGCTCTCCCGAAATTCAACGACACGGCATCTGCTACAGAGTTCGTAGCGGGCTTGCGATCTCTCGCCAGCGACGTCGACGTCCCGCAAGCCGTCGACGAGCGGATGACTATCGCGGTCTCTGTTAATCTGTTAACCTGCGATCCGGGAAAGACCTGCGGCGGCGCCAATGGAGACCGGTTCGCGGCGAGTCTTAACAATTTAAGCTTTGTGCCTCCCACCACAGATATACTCGAGGCCTATTATAAAAACATAAGCTTGGTGTATGGGACGGGCTTTCCGGCGGATCCTCCGGCGAAGTTTAACTATACAGGGGATAATCTGCCGGGGTATTTGCTGTTTCCGAGGAGGGCGACGGAGGTGAGGGTGGTGGAGTACAACACAAGCTTGGAGATAGTGTTTCAGGGGACGAATGTGCTGGCGGCGGAGAACCATCCGATGCATATTCATGGTTACAGCTTCTATGTGGTCGGAAGGGGATTTGGGAACTTCGACGAGGAGAAGGATCCGTTGAGTTATAATTTGGTGGATCCGCCAATTGAGAATACCGTTGGAGTGCCGAAGAGCGGCTGGGCGGCGATCAGGTTCAGGGCTACCAATCCAGGTATGGATATGAAAAAATATATATATAAAAATTTGATTTTTTTTTTGAAAATATAAATTTAAATGAGTGAAAATTCAAAATAATCATCAAACTATTAATAAATGCCTAATTTAGGCCTCATTTGGGACGATCTTCTTATTGCTTTTTAAAATAACTTTTTAATATAAAAAATAAATTTCTTGTATCAGAAATCTGTTCTAAGAAGCAACAAGAAAACCGCCCCAAATTTTAGACTTTTACAATGATCCAATATAGTAAATATCTCAGTTTAGTTATGTCAAAAGTAATAGTTAAAATTAATCTTAATAATTAAATATGATGTCATGCATTTTGAGTATTAGGGTGTATAAATTATTATATTTAAAATTTTGTCATTTCTAATTTTAAATTAAATTAAAAAAATATATAATAGGTGTTAATCAACTAAAAACTAAAATGAATAATTAATAAACATGATTAACTTCTATTATGATTGTTTATATTTATTTTAATATAATAAATAATGAAATATATAAATTTAATAAATATAATTTCCCATATACTGTAATACCAAAAATGTTCTCATATTTAATTATTATAGTTAACTTTACTTTCTAATAATCAGAGGATTATATTGGATCATTATAGAAGTTGGAAACTAAATTGAGTATTTACTAATAGTCGGGAGCTTCTTTTACCTTTTACTCAAACTTAAATATAAAGAAGATAATTTCTTTGAAATATATAATATCTATCTTAGAATTGGTAAAATATTTAGATTAATTAAAGTTGTTATCATATATGTTTTATATATTCTGAATTTTTTTTTTCTTCTTAAGGAGTTTGGTTTATACACTGCCATGTTGACGCACATACAAGCTGGGGAATGGACACTGTGATCATTGTGAAGAATGGGGAAGGCTCGAATGAAGGGATGTTGCCTCCACCATCATATATGCCTCCATGTTAGAAGAGGCGGGAGAATTGATTTGATTGTTTTATAAGAATACATATTATGATTGGTTCTAATTAATAAGATGAGTTTAATGATTTTATAGATGTCTTGATGGTGATATATAATGATTAGAGTTAGGGTAGTCAAAAATGTTATTGTTGGACTTCATTTTGGCTTCGTTGAGACGATTTTCTTGTTGATTCTTAAAGTAGCTTTATAGTACAAAAGCTGTTTTAAGAAGTATAGCAAGAAAGCCCTCTCAAACGAAGCCTTAGTATACATAATTAGATTTACGGGCGATCAATGCCCTCGTAAATGTGTAAAGGAATGTATTTTATGCTCATATACGAGTTAAATTGATCAAGAAATTTCGCATGTTTGATCTGATTCTTTTGATAAGTTAAATATGTGATCGATCTACAACAACTTTCCTTCTTTTCTCAATCTTATAACATTCAAATTTATCCCACTAAGAAAAGCACATGAGATTATAAGAGAATGTGAGAAGATTTACACCAACTCTTTTCCACATAACATCCTTCTTTGCTTTTGTTACTTATTGCCAAGCTAAGGAATTTGACATGAAAATTATCTCTTAGAAGATATTTCCTAACCACCTTGGAAAATTCAATATCTAATATCCTACCTTGAATAAATACAACTCTTATCACATAATCAACCACCATCTCTTGTTTAAAATTAGGAAAATCTTTGAATTTTCTTCTTATCTTTCCATGGCTACTATCTATAGAAGAAGAGTTTGATGTATTTAGCATACAAACAAACTGCAAAAATTAGAACAAATTTCTATTAAAACGGAATTGCAAAGTTCTCCTTTTGTCTTTTGGAACTCTTTGATCTTTCTCCTTCTGCTTACCAGTTTTGTGATCATTGTTCATGTCAGGAATCATTTTCTCCAGCTCTATAAAAAGATTCATAATATTGTGGAAGAGTTCTAGAAGTTCATACAGTTTGATCTTCATTACCCAAAAAAAAAAAAAATAATTTAAACTGTTATAACAGATTCTGTTGTCATATCCGTTGGCGCTAACTAACAAATATTTCATCAATAAATTTACCAAATTCAACATAAAAAATTCATCAAAATTTCCACTGAAACTCCCTCATGTATTAAAATACGATTACTCGCTTGGGCCTCGATGAGAAAGATGTGTGCACACACGTGACGTTTGATAATGCTGCACGGGTCAAGAAATGAACTTAAATTTGAGCTCAATTCTTCAATGTGAATAGATAGGAGTTGAAATTATAAAATAAATGTATTGTCACAACATTGGCGGGGATATTTATTTTATACATTTATAGTAGGACTTCAAAGTTTATTAAAAAAAAATTCACTAATAAAGGCATAAAGCCGACACTGACATGATCCTCTATCGGCAAGTTGATAGAGTCGACAAGGTTCAACCAACAAAATGAAATTTCCTATAAATACCTTAATGAAGGATGCGTTGACATAATATCTCAACCGAAGGGGATCCCAAATATATAAAAAGACATTGTAAATGCACATTAAAATTTAAATTTAAAATATTTAAAATTAAAATAAATCATCAAATACTTAAAGAAAAATTCATTCACCCTCCGTAATAGTTTATCGAGGTAGACAAATTTGAAAATATTTTAGCTCACAAAGAGTGAATGTCTGGTCAAGAACATTACTACGATTTATTCTCAAACTATCTCTTACCAGTAAAGACATGACACGTGTCCTCTAACTGGTGATATTGCCGTCAAATGACACCACATGTAAACGATTATGACTAGGACCATCTAATCAAGTGGTTTTTCCGCTAAATGACACCATTATATTACGGTCATGGTCATAGCCTATTTGTTTTTCAATGACATTAAATCCTTGAGTAATGAATCGTCATAATATGATCAATAGGGAAAAAAGCCCTCTATTAGCTAAAGTGGATTCAAATTTATCCTCTTATATAAATATTCACCCCATGTCTATATGTACTCTTGGACGAAGCAACCCACGACGGCCGACAAGGATACTCAGGTTATGTTGAGTCGACTGCCTCTTTTGACTAAATAGACCAAGGACTATGATGATCTGGGATGGCGAAACTATTGGATCTTGATCGGGTTCATCATCATTTCCCCCACCATCCGCTTTAAGTGTAAGGTGGTCAATTTCTATTTTAAAATATTAAAATTTCAAATACTAAACATGCTGCTACTATACTTTAGATGCTATGTATGTATTTGAAGACTAGCCTTAATCGAAAGTTCTATCTTATTATTGGGAATTGGGAGGGATAATTAACTATAAGGGATTGCACCTATAAGAAACATAAACGTAGATCATAAAGTCCTAACAAAATTAGGGCGAAATCTCTTGGTAATGTCTTATTCAAGACCCAATCTACCTTCTAAAGCTTTTCCCCAAAACTTGTTAAAACTCTCCTTGACGACCCAAAAAAAGAGGAGGGGCTGCGGAGAGGCTGAAGCATGAATTTTTTAAGCTATACTTCCCACCAATGAGTAACTAATGAATCACTAAAGGTGTATTTTTATTTAAGTGAAACTGATAGATTTATAGACTTCATTGGAATAAATTAATTTGAAAATAGATAATTTTGATTACAACTGTACACATCAAAATTTAATTATGATAAATCTACCCCTCATACTTCAAAATCAGCAGGTAGGAATGAATTTGGAAATTTTTTTTTATTTTATTATCATACAACTACTAAAATAGTTAGAAAACATATCATTATACTTATTTTCATTTTTTTTCAAAAATGTTTTTTGCTTTAAAAATATTAAAAAAAAAATGGCCTAAAATGCATTTAATTTTAATAATAATAGTTCACTTTTTTTTTTGTCCTCATGACTTCCTCTTTCACTCAACTTGGCTTTCGACTCTCATCACCTTCATCACCCTCATTGTGATTGCCGTCCTCACCTCTCTTGTTTTGTTGTTGCCCTTCCCTCGACTTTGATCCCTTTCCCTTCCACCATTTTTTCTCTATTTATAGATTTTTAATTATGAGATTACTAAAAACATACAAAATATATTAAAATATAATATAAAAATGATTTGAAATAGTCTCTAACTAAGGGTTCATTTGTGGCATCTTTCCCACTATTATTTAGATCATGCTTTCACTAACTATTTTTTAGAATTTTTTTTTAATAAAAGCTACTATTTATAATAAAATATGCTAAAGTGTAATAGCCATAAGAAAGTTGTTGTCCAACTTTTTCAAAAAGAAAATATTTATAAAACTCACAAAATTTTTAAGAAAATATAGTTTCCCCACAAGATATTTATAATCAGCTTTAGAAAAAAATTACAGCCACCTAAAAAACCCTCATTCAATTTAATAAAATCAATAAACATTAATATATATTGGATAAAACCCACGCACATAGAGGCCTTCACATTGATTAAAAAATAAATTACAAGTCCTTAAAGGATTAAATGAATGCTAAAGCCATAAATGTACAACAAAGTTCAAAATTAAATCTAATGAGCCAATGGTCCTCTCTAACTACAATGAGTAAAGGGGGAAAAAAAGGTAGGCAAGAAGCTAACCCTCAAAAAGCGCCCCAAGCAAGATCTTCAATAAAGCCCAAACAAGGAGAGAAGCTCACTCAATATATTAACCCAAATACAAGACAACTTTGAAGCTCATTCAACATATCGAAGAACATGCCTAAGCTTGAGCAAACTATGGAGCCCAAAGAGAAAGCATCAACAATGCCACATAAGCACAAGTGAACCACTAGTAGATGACCCAACTAGCCTCCACACCATTATCCCCAGCAGACAAAGTGAAAGTTCATTAGGATTATTAAGCCCTTATGAACTAGCTCGATGCTAGCCAAGAGGGGGTGAATTTGTAGTTTTAAAATTCTTAAATAAAAAGCACGATTTTTTTAAAATATATTAAAACTTTAAACCACACAATCATCCACAAGAAAAAAGTGTGAAAATTAAAATGTGAAAATATAATAAGAAAGATCACAACATATTTTATAGTGTTTCGATCAACTTGACCTACGTCTACTCCCCGGAGCCTTTCCTCCGTGTATTGCACTAAAATACAGTGACTCTCCTTTTGCTCCCACAACAAGACAAAGAAGCCTTTACAAACTTCTTTTCACTGACCCCAATGAGGCAGATAACCTGAACTCTTTTTTCTTCCTCCTGAAGCAGGCAGAGAACCTTGATTGATTGTTGAAGAAGATCTTCACAGAGCCACCAAGAAACCAAGGACGACGACCGAAGAAGACGACTTGGATCCTAGCTTGGAGCAACCTTTGTGAATCCCACACAAACTCCTCCTCACAAGATCCTCTCTTTCTCCCTCTCAAGCTCTCCCTCTCCTTCTCTTGGCTCTCTTAGATCAGGATAGAAACAAAAGATCCCCACTTGAATAAACAAGAGATCTTATAAAGAAGGGCTTAAATTTTGCCATATTTTGCAACTTGCCATCAAAGATCATCCAGGACAATCGACAGATCGTCTTGTACGATTAGTGTATTTTTAGCACTTTTAGTCTGAACAATCTGGGAGGACTGGATAATTAGAAGCTTTGTTTATTCTGATCATCCATGACTATGTGGACATCATCCTGTATGATTAGTTTAAAACCATACATATCATGCAACACATCGTTCTGGTCGTCCAGAGCATACATGTTGGACGATGAAGAAACATAATATATTGTCTAGGATGATGCTTGAATCTTCCTATACGATCAGTTCAAAATCAAGGATTATTATCCAATACATCGTTCTGGTCATCCAGGAGAAACTCCTAGACGGTGAAGAAATTCAACTGAGTCCAACAAATCGTTCTGGTAATCCAGGTGACTTAGTAAAAAACTAAAGTTTTCCTAACTGATTGTCCTGGGTGATCATGCGATCATCCAGGATGATATGATTGATCAATCAAACCTTAATTGCTTTTCTTAATCACCTAACTAATTTAGGTATGATTGTAATGAATCATCTAGGATGATATATGGGATCATTATGTACGATTTCTAAAAATAATAAAATACCTAAAAGAGTTGGCGGCTGATTCTTTCTGTTTTGAGCCTATCATCTAGGATGATTAGCTTAATTCAATTGTGTTAACAAGGATGCCCTAATTAGGGTTTCTATTTTAAACTCATTGTCCATGATGATTTTGGATCGTCCTGAACGATATGATTAAAAATAGAAAAACTCTTAAGCCTACAGAATTTCTCGCCCTGAGTGTGTGTGCAAGGTTACTTAACATCAGGATCCACATTATTACATTTGACTAAAAAAAGGTAAATACACTAGAAATTTCTTACAGACTGACTTAGTCATAATCTACTAAATCTTGAGCTAGCTTGATTTGTAATTGTTCTTGTAGACCCGATGAAAAGTTAATAGGTAGGGTAATAGTAGAGAAATAAAAAAACCAAAAACACTACAGGAAATTCTTCAAATATCGGCGGCTTGTACCGGCGGTTGTCTGGCGACACACCGGTGGCTTCAACCGCTGGCAATGCCGTCGGCACTAACCGCCAGTATTGTACCAACGATTTACCGATGCTGGCCTGCGGTTGTTCGGCCAGATGCCGGTGGCTACAACCGCCGGCAATGCCGTCGGCACTGACTGCCGGTGAGCCGCCGGCATGGTTTTCGGCGGTTGGACACCCGGAACACCACCGGTAATAACTCCATTGATAACCGGTGGCATAGGCCGCCGGAAAGCTGTCGGGGGAAATAAACTGCCGGCAACAGTTTCCGACGCTATTTTTACCGGTAGCTTGACAACTACCGAAAAGTCGCCGGTATTTTTTCGAATCGCCGGTAAAACCAGGCAAACCACTATAAAAAATCGCCGGTAATAGCTGAATTTTCTGTAGTCAAATATTTGCTATCATCAAAATTATAATCCTTGACTCCAAGTTTGCAACATAAAGGCCATCAAGCACTAAACATCATATTGAGCAACACATCAATAAAGTTGTTATCGCATTAGAAAAGTCAAGAGACAGGGGGGTGCGAGGAATTAGACAACATTATATAGAATTAACCAATCACTGAAGACCAGCAACTCCAAGCCATCAGCATGATATATCTAACCATTAAAACATAGTTTAAGTGCGGTAATAGATCGAGTGGTTGTGACATCAGCTAAGGTGTTCTTCATACTTTTCTTTTTATTTTTCTTCTTTTTCTTACTAGAAACTAGAAAATCACCATCTTTGATAACATGATAACATTTAAGTCAAAATCATCATGGAAGGTACCATCTTCAATAGACTTAATCTCTCCATCTTTCCAAATGAAATCAAAATATTCAGAAGAGCAAACTCGAACAGGGAGTCCACAAACCACAATGGATTGCAAATCCACCTGAAGCAAACCCTCCAAAAAATTCAGAGACACATCAGCAGTAGTAGAAGAAGATGAAATAGGGATGGAAATTATATGAATACATCAATACAATTCAAAGAAGGAATTAGTTTCTGAAACTTCTCTAGAAAGCCATCAACCTTATCCAAATTAGCCAAATCTTCATTTATAGAGGCAAAGTCTTCTTGATTAGGACACTCATTAACATCACAATTATGAGCAATGACTTGTTGCGGAGGTCTCATCAGATATATTATTAATTGAGGGATCCAAATTAGCATTGATCTTGTCACTACTTATAATAGTAGAGCACACGTGATTCAAACAATCAGCTTCTTTAGCTTTAATATTTTCCTCCCTTAAATCATGATGATCAATAAAACACTTATTTATAGCATGCCCATGAATCTTGTAAAGATTACAAAATAAAGGAAAATTTTTAATTTCAACTTTTTAAATTGACCCCAATTTTTTGAGCAAATCCAAACTTCCTCAGAATATTTTTTTGTTATATAAATTTTAACTAAAAAACATGCCACATATGGCATGGATCGAGCAGTCGTTGCATGATCAGACAACACCCTATAGAAGAAATCAATCATTAAAGATCAAGAACTCCAAATAATCAACATGATATATCTACAACAACAACAACAACAACAACAACAACAAGCCTTTATCCCACTACGTGGGGTCGGCTACATGAATCCTTTTTCTCCATTGTGTCCTATTAAAAGTCAAATTCTCGTTTAAATCTAATAAAGAAAGGTCATTCTTAATATTTTCTAACCAAGTATTTTTAGGTCTACCCCTACCTTTCTTAACATAAGTCAAATCTACCCATCTATTTCACCATCACTTTGAACAATTGATCCAAGATATCTAAAACGTGTACTCTTATTAATGACTTGATCGCCCAAAGTCACAATCCCTTCAGTAGGTCTATTACTACTAAAATTACACTCCATATATTTCGTTTTAGATCTACTCAAGCGAAAATCTTTAGACTCTAAGGTTGACCTCCATAATTCAAGTTTACCTTCAACTCCCTCTCTAGTCTTATCAACAAGAAGAATATCATCAGCAAAAAGCATACACCAAGGTACATCATCTTGCAAATGTCTAGTGAGAACATCCATGACTAAAGCAAATAGATATGGGCTTAAGGCTGATCCTTGATGTAACCCAACCGAAATAGGGAAATACTTGGTCAAACCACCTTGTGTTTGAACACATGTAATAGCTCCTGCATACATATCTTTAATGATTTGAATATAAGCATTATTGACTCCTTTCTTTTCAAGAACTCTCCATAGCACTTCTCTTGGAACTTTATCATATGCTTTTTCTAAATCAATAAATATCATATGTAGATCCTCCTTATTTTCTCTATATTTCTCCATCAAACCTCTTAATAAATGTATGGCTTCCATAGTCGACCTACCCGGCATGAATCCAAATTGATTTTGAGAAACATTAGTATCACGCCGCAACCTATGCTCCATAACTCGCTCCCATAGTTTTAAAGTATGACACATTAACTTAATACCTCTATAATTCGCACAATCTTGTGCATCACCTTTATTCTTAAAAATAGGAATTAATACACTCATTCTCCACTCATCTGGCATCTTTTTAGTCTTCAAAATAGTATTAAAAAGTTTAGTAAGCCATGAAATTCCTTCATCTCCTAAGCATTTCCACACCTCTATTGGAATATCATCAGGTCTAACAGCTTTTCCATCCTTCATTTTCTTTAAAGCCTCTGTAACTTCAGTTTGTACTAATACGCCGATAAAAACAGAAATCTTTATTTTCATTTAGGTTGCTAAGGTCACTATAGTCAATCTTATTTTCACACTCTTCATTAAAAAGTTTAGCAAAATATCTCATCCATCTTTGTTGAATATCATCTTCTAAGAAAAGTATTTTTTGATCTTCATCTTTAATACACTTCACTTGAACTAAATCCTTACTACTCCTATCTCTTTGTTTGGCTAACTTATACATATATCTTTCTCCCTCCTTAGTATTTAATCTATTATATAAATCGCTAAAAGCTAATGTCTTTGCATCGCATATGGCTTTCTTAGCATCCTTACGAGCAACTTTATATATTTCCCAATTATCGGAATTTTTAAAATTAAACCAATTTTTATAACAAATCTTCTTATTTTTAATCTTTTCTTGCACAATTGGATTCCACCACCAACTATTTTTACTATTGGGAGCTTTTCCCTTTGATACTCCAAGGACATCTTTTGCAATATTCTTAATATCACTAGCCACTTTTTCCCACATAATATTAGCATCCTCATGCACAGACAAAATCTTAAGATCTAAAATCTTATTTCCAAAAATATTTTTGTTAATATTCTTTAAATGCCCCCATTTAATCCTAGAAAATTGTTTTACTTTATTTTTTATTTTATGCCCCTTTATCTTAAAGTCCAAAACTAATAATCGATGTTGGGTACATAAATTTTCACTCGGAATAACTTTACAATCTTTGCAATCTAAACGATTTAATTTTCTAATAAGAAAATAGTCAATCTGGGTTGTATTATATCCATTTTTATAAGTGATGAGATGCTCATTCCTTTTCTTAAATAAGGTATTAGCAATTGAAAAATCATAAGCTAAACAAAAATCTAATATGGTCTTGCCACCTTCATTCGTCGTTCCGAATCCATGGCCACCATGAATGCTTTTAAAATCATCTACCTCTCTACCAACATGTCCATTTAAATCTCCTCCAATAAAAACTCTTTCTTCAAGAGGTATATTTTGTATTAATTCTTCTAAGTCATTCCAAAAATTTAATTTAGAACTCATATCCAAACCTACTTGTGGAGCATAAGCACTTATAATATTAACAATCTTATCATCAACAACAATCTTTAAAGCTATAATTCTATCTCCAATCCTATTAATTTTTATAACATTATCCTTTAAACTCTTATCTATAATAACACCTACACCATTTCTAGTACGACTCTTACCCGAATACCAAAGTTTAAATCCTAAACTATCGATTTCCTTGGCCTTCTCTCCAACCCACTTAGTTTCCTGAATGCACAAAATATTTAACTTCCTATGAATCATAATATCTATTAATTCCATTAATTTTCCTGTAAGGGAACTTATATTCAAAGTTCCTATCCTATTTTTTGTTTCTTGGACTAGCTTCTTTGCCCACATCCGTCCTTGATGTGGGAACCCTTTCCTATTTAACACTGCACCCGGGCGCCGGTGCAGCGGCCCTTGCACACTTGTCACTGTATTCAGGCCATACAGCGCGTCGCTTCCAGGGGAGGCCCTAGCATTAACACAATTTCTTAAAGGATTCATGTCATTATTGTTCGACAAGTTTTACGCTGACTGTCGACTACCTAACGCAACCCTCCACTTTTCTCATCCAGGACTTGGGACCTGGCAACGGCAGTGTTAATCAACATGATATATCTAAGCATTAAAAATTAGTTTAAGTGCAATAATATATCGAGTGGTTCTAACATCAGCTGAGATGTTCATCATACTTTTCTTTTTTATTTTTCCTCTTTTTCTTGATAGAAACTAGAAAATCATCATTTTTGATAATATGTATAACATTTAAGTCAAAATCATTATGGAAGACACCATCTTCAATAGACTTAATCTCTCCCTCTTCCCAAATAAAATCAGAATATTCAGAAGAGCAAACTTGAATAGAGGGACCGCAAACCACAATCGATTGCAAATACACCTAAGACAAACCCTCCAAAAAATTCTGACACATCAGCAGTAAAAGAAGAAGAAATAAGGATGGACATTATATGAAAGCATTTGGAGACATCAATACTGCTAGAAGAAGGAGTCGGTTCTCGAAACTTCTCCGGAATGCCATCAACCTTGTCCAAATTAGCCAAATCTTCATTCACATAGCAAAAGTTAAAAATTAGGACACTCGTTAACATTAAAATTATGAGCAATGACTTGATCAAGATTATTGGTCTCATAAAATATATAATTAATTGAGGGATCCAAATTAGCATTGATCTTATCACTACCCACAACAAGAGAGCACACAAGATTCAGAGAATCAGCCTACTTAGCTTTAATATTTTCCTTCCTTAAATCGGCATGATCAACGTAACACTCATTTATAGCATGCCCATGAATATTGCAATGATTACAAAATAAAAGAATATTTAAATTTGACTTTCTAAAATAACTCAAATTTTTTGAGCCAAACAAAACTTCCATAGAATTTCTTTTGTTATATCAAGTTTAGCTAAAAAATGCGCCACTGATGGCATGGATTAAACAGCCGTTGCATGATCAGACAACACCTCATAGAAGAAACTAATCACTGAAGACCAACAACTTCAAACCATCAACATGATATATCTAAGCATTAAAAATCAGTTTAAGCGTAGTAATAAATCGAATG